CTCAACAGTGGCATTCGGAGACATAGACACGACGATATGCGTTGCATCGGCCTGATTTGTAGCTACCCGGCCCACTGAAACACAAAAAATGAGCGATTTTCCGAAGCTCAGAAACTCTTCAGCAAGAGCCGCGTGAATTTCTGTCCTTTCCTCTACCTCATTCACCTCATCTAATGCTTTTTCTCATTAGCCTCTTTCAAGTAATGCGGTTGAGAATAGGCCCTATCTACTGGCTATAAAAGCCACTTACGTATGATAAGCCGATTGTAGCAACCAGGTTGACCCTGGAAGCCTAAACGGCGAAGGCACGAAAGATTATATCGCAACTACTTCGGTATGCACGTATATGCACTCTTCCACCACAGAGGTTCCATTACTAAGCTAGACGACGACTTATAAGTACCTAGAGACATAAAAAGCTTGATATGGCCAAAATAAATCGTTCCGTTCTTAGATTCTGCTTCAAGAACCGGTCTGTTTTCAGCAAATTCATTTTTCCTGATGATACGGAAATTAAATGCCCAGTCGGCATGCTATTTTCATAAAAAGCGTTTCCTCCAAATAGTTTCCCGCAACTAGAGTTAATTCCCTTTTCTTTCACTTATCTCTTACTTTGTTTGGTCTTTATTTTTTTCTCCTTCTCTCACATATCCGTCTTGCAAATTAGTTACATGGATTTTCTGTAGATGGCGAGTAGGAGGCTGTACTGATGATTCCTGCTCCTACCCGCACGCATAATTCGGTCTGTGTTTACAGCTAAGGGATGAAACACAGATTGCATCGTAAAAAATCTTCTTATGACACCTGAGTCCAGTCCTCTTATTCTACTATTATAGCATGAAAGAACAACATGAGAAAAGAAGGTAAGAGTGAGATAAGACGTTTCGGTCCATTAAGTCATATACGCCTTAACTGAACACCGGGACAGGACCTTGTCAGTATGACGGACACAGTGCTCAGGAGAAAACCCCATAATCAAGATATCCGACTCTGGATTTTGCCCAAGTGTAAGTCCAATCTGAAAAGCCTGATTGCTTCTTATGGAATCTACTACTATTCTAATAAGGCCAACATTATCCTGGCGACATCTCACACCATCAAGGTAAATCTCATCGTGGTGAATCCAGCTAAATCCTGGTAAGTTTAACCTTATCCTGGTAAATCCAGCCTCATTTCTGGTAAGCCCGACCTTACAGCGGTGAATTGGTAAGCTCAGCCTGATGCTGTCAGACTAAAATCAAAATCCTGGTTGTGGTCGGGTACATGTATATTGTGACAGAAAGAGATAAAT